GAGAGAGGTGATGGAAACTAGGAGGTGGGGCCTGGTTGGAGGAAGTAGGCCACTGGGGGTGTGTCCTCAGGAGCTATAGTTTGCCTCAGGCCCTCCCCAAGGTCTCTCTTTGCTTCCTGGTTGACATGCCATAGAGAGCTCTCCTCCACCATACTCTTTAGCCATGATGTTTTGGCCTTCCTCAGACTCACAGCAATGGAGTCAGACAACCATGGACTGGAACCTCTGAAACTGTGAGCCAAAATAAATCTTTCTTCCCCTTTAGTTGTTTATGTCAGATATTTTAGAAAAGGCCCTCACTAGACGCCAGATGCCAGTACCTTGACCCTGAACTTCCAAGTCTCCATAACTATAAGAAATAAATTTCTGTTCTCTATAAACTAAAAATAAAAGCAAATTAAACACAAAGTATGCAAAAAAAACCCCTCAAAGACACAAACAGAAATCAATGAGGCATAAAACAGAAAAATTAGTGAAAATTAAGACGTGTTTCTTTTTGGGGGTACAATTTGGGTTTGAACTCTTTGGACTCTGCACTATACCTTCCATTTTGTTCTAGTTATTTTGGAGATGGAGGTCTCAGGAACTATTTGCCTGGGCTGGACTTGAACTGCAATCCTCAAGATCTCAGCCTCCCAAGTGGCTAGGATTACAAACATGAGCCACTGGCACCTGGCTTGAAGGATGGTTCTTTGAGAAAACAGTAACTAACAAACTTTGGCCAGAATGATCCAGAAAAATACAACACAGAAAAATTACCATCATCAGGAATGAATGAGGAAACATCACCTCAGATTCTATAGACATTAAAAAGGATACATAAGGAATAATGTAAAGGTACTTACTAACCTAATGACATTAAATTTACCCACTAAAATAATGGATATGTTCTTTGAAAGGTCCAACTAGTAAAAACCACTCAAGGTGAAATATATAATCTGAATATCCCTATATCTATTAAAAGTCCAGAATTTGCAGTTGAAACTTTTCCACAACTTCAAGGACAGGTCTTTCTAGAAATCTGAGAAACTTTCCCAGTTCGTCCTATGAAGTCAGCCTTACCTGATATAAAAACTAGGAAAAATCACTGAAGTAAGGAATACTCCACACAAATATTCTTCACATGCATAGACACAAAATTTCTTAAAATTCTGGTATGTACACGTCTATAAAACTACACCAAGACTGCTATGTTCTAAATGTCTGTCATTCCAAAATTTGTATGTTTAAACGTAATATGATACCATTAAGAAGCTGGGCCTTTTGGAATGTGATTTTGGGAAATTATTTTATAGAACCCTAATGAACGGTATTAGTGCCCCTGCAAAAACGGCCCAAAGGAGCATGTCTGCCCTTTCCATTATGTGAGAACGAAGCAAGAAGGCACCATCTGTGAAGCAAGCCCTCACCAGATACCACATCTCCTGGCATTTTAATCCTGGAACGTCTCAATTCCTAGAACTATAAGCACTAAGTTTCTACTGTTTATAAATTACCCACCATTAAGTATTTTGCTATAGCAAAATTATGTTTGTAAATCAGCTTTATCAGGTTGGAGAGACATAAAAAGTAATGAATAAAATTAATCAGTACAATTTCAAGGAGTTGCCACTTGCTATTCCAAGAACGTGACCAAAAGGACACTAAGAATGTAAAATATATTAAGAGCCAAACTTAAGGTGCTTTCTGAAGTACATTTTATGATCAGGAGACCACCTATAAAATTATTTTCATAAAAGCTAGATTAAGTGTTAGTTCTATCACTTTTTCCAAGTGTGTTATACAAAACAGGATTTGGACTCAACATACCGGTGATGTGAATGTAAGCTCCTAATATAATGCTTACAGCTGACTACACATCCCACATTAAAAAAAAAAAAAGAATTAAAAAAATATAAGCCTACCCTTCCAAATTCTACTTACATAAATCTATTTCTCATGATTATATAAGACTATGCTATTTTCCATACAAACTCCAACAGTTAAAAAATAGTTAAAATAGTTTCTGCCGGGTAGTGAGCTGGTGGGGAGGAGAGGGAGGAGATGGGGGGTGGGGGGAGAAATGACCCAAACATTGTATGCAAATATGAATTAAAAAAAAAAAAAAGTATTATGCTTCCAAAGTCAAACCTAGATAACAAGGTACATTCAGAGAAGTTTACTTCCATTCCTACCACTGCCTGCTGGTTCCTTTTTCCTTCAGTTTTGTAAGATTTTTGCATCAAACTTCTGATGTAAATAATAAGCAAACACATATATGTGGTATACTTCTCCCTTTTAGTACACAAAAGATTAGGTATACTATAAAAACTGTTCTCTACCCTTTTTTTTCACTTACTATATCCTGGAGATTATTCTATGTCAGTATATAAGGATTGTTTTCATTCATTTTTATAATTGTGTATTACTCCATACATGATGAGCATGTGGGGTTTTTTCAGTCTTTTGATATTGTAAGTCGTGTCAATAAATAGTAGTGGTCATGTCACTTTGCATTTTTTCCAGTGTACCTTTGGAAAAGCTTCAGGGCAGTAAATATATATGTCATTTTACTAGATGTTGACACATTCCCCTCCACAGGGGCTGTACCATTTTGCATTCCCAGTAGCAGTGTGTGTGAGAGAGCCCAGACCTCTTACTATCTCTCCAGAGCCAGTGTCAATCATACTGGCAACTCTTGCCTTTACAGTTTGAAATATACAGAGCTTACATCCTAATTATTTTCCTTATCACTTCACCTGTGCTATAAACAAATAGGTTGCCTGGCAGTAATGAGGAAACTTTTGTGGCAAGCCTTGTTTTGTTAGAGGTCAGTTCTCAAGCTGCCTGTATGCCCTGGGTGGAGGAAGGTTCTGAAACATGTTAAACAGCCTTGGTTGCCAATGAGTCCACATCAGTTCCTGTATCAGTGGTGTGAGCTTGCACATACACCTTTTTCTGGAGACTGGAACATTAAACACACATCTTTATGCTCCCCTAAAGTAGCTGTTTTCTGTTCATTTTTATCAACTTTGAAATAAACTCACTGGGAGGTTCCCAAAAGACAAAAAAAAAAAAAAACATATTTCAATTCTCTCTTTTTTTTTTTAGTATGGGATGGTAGTGGGGCTTGAACTTGAGCCTTGTGCAGGTGCTCTAACCACTTTAGCCCCATCCCTTTTTTGCTTTAGTTATTTTTTAGATAGGGTCTTATGTTTTTGCTCAGACTGTGATCTTCCTATCTACAGCTTTCCATGCAGCTGGAATTACAAGAGAATGCCATCATGCCAGGTAACTGAGATGGGGTCTTGCTAACTTTTTGAACAGCTGGCCTAGAACTGCTATCGTTCCAATCTCCCACCTCCCAAGTAGTTGGGATTACAGGCATTAGCCACTGCACTCAGCCAAAAAATTTCAATTTTATGAAAAAGTATAGTTTAACATTCCATCAAATTCCATTCAAATCACAACTCTTCAGCCACATATTTCTCCAGTCTATAAATTCTGTTTTATTGAGATTACACTGAAATAATCATGTTCTCTAGATGTTACTGTGTAACTGCAGTGAAATGGGTTGTTTTTCATGAAACTCCTGTACTACCAAGAACATATATAAACACACTTGTACAAATCCAAGAGGTGTATTTTTGTAGGAAATAGCAAAATCCTTCTCAGTCCTATCACTTAAATCTAGATAAACAGAGATTTTACTATTACTAAAGTTTTTGGGTTACGTATAGAATGAAAAAAAAAAATCACAGAAACCCTAATTTTTTCTTGAAAGGAATTCTTAGGATATACATAACAAAATCCTGCACAGTCCTATCCTTCTATATTTATAGAAACTCTCAGGCTATGTATATACAAAATTCTGCATAGTCCTAATGGTATCTTCAAATAGACTACTTGATTACTTTAGCATTTCTGAAGAAAATAAGTTTCAGTTTCCATGAGGTTCTTACCTGTAGAGTCCATCATCAATCTCCAAAGATTCTGTTGACATGATGGGCAAATTTTTACTTGCACTGGGGAGAAAAAAAAATCCAAAACTTTTAAGAGCAAGGATGGCTATTAAATACTCATATTCTGTAATGTAATATTCAATTATACATGGGATCAGATTAACAAGTTATCACGTTTTTACATGCCAAACATATTTTATTATCTATCACTTTTTAGATTT